TCTTTCTTTCTTTCTTTCTTTCTTTCTTTCTTTCTTTCTTTCTTTCTGTCTGTGTGTGTTTGTGTGTGTGAGAGAGAAGATACAAACCACTAGGAGGCGCTGTCACATTAAATGCAAAACGCAGGCCAATTACAGACGAAGAAGACAAGTTGCGGGAAAACCGAAGCGGGTCAAGCCCCCGTATGTTTGTCAGTAACAAGGTAATTTAAACCAATATTTTTTGTTTTACAATTGTTAATGGCCATAGCTAAGCAGTGGTTGTCATACATGTCATTAGGGGTTTCTTTCTCGTCGACTGTCTCAATGTCAGTGATGTTAAAAGAGCAGGTTGTAAACTTCCTCACACCAGTTAGCCAGAAGTCATGTTTAGCCACAATATAAACACTGAACAGTAACTTCGTATTATATTTTAAGAGTACAGCATGTGTTTTACGTATACTTTTAATACCAGATAGCAACACTTATTCACTATAAATCATCATGCTATTTTAAAGTTGACAAATAACAAAAAAAAAGTACATTTGTGACAGACCAACTGGAGAAGAACGGCAAATATGTATGCTGTGACCAAAGTACACACAAGGGAGCTGGATGTCGGATGTAAGAATCTTTTCTCATCTTGTCAGTGATTGTGTTGTCACTTCATATTAATACCAGATGATTGATAAGATAAGCCAAATAATTTAAAGAAAGATTCCATTATAGATGGTGTGCAAATGGTGCATCACAGTTCATAACAGAAAATGACTGTTTTTAAGTGTAGTTTATAACCACAAGTATATTAAGGATGGCAAAAAGTTGGTTAATGTTCTATTTTGTTTACCCTGTGTGCATATTCTCTCACTAAATGCTGCTTTACTCATTAACTTAGTTTAAAAAATGCAAGCATTACAATTACCAGCAGTGTGGTTTAAATTGGTAGTATGCTTTTTTTTTTAACAATGTATTTTTAACTCTGACTTGTCATCAGCCACCATTAAAACAATGAAAAACCCAACTGCCTCAGATGTTAAAAAGGGGATTGCTGTCTTGTGGGAGAATCTGCAGTGTCCCATATGGTGAGTATCTTTTGGAAAAAGATAGATATGCTGTGTTTGTCATATAAACAAACATGTTGACATTTACATTCGTCTTTAGCTTGGATTTAATGATGGCACCAGTGTCTACGAAGTGTGATCATCAATTTTGCAAGTAAGTTGACTGAGGTTTCATCTTCCTGGTGAGTTTCTTGATATTTTGAATGCCTTTGTGGATGTTTTAAGTAATATATTATGTGTTTTTGTTATGTGTTTTCTTTTCCAAAAGATTCTGTATGATGAAACTTTTAGACAGCTCAAAACAAAACAGGACCAACTGTCCAATTTGTAAAGCCAAGATAACCAAAAGGTTAGACACAATAAGTAAGCTAAGATCATACCTTGACAAAAAAGTTCAAACCTGCCTTATGAAACTCTGATATGTGTCTGCTTGTACAGGAGTTTGCAGGAGAGTCCTGGGTTTCAGCAACTTGTCGCAGGATTGCAGGACATCATAGAAGCATATGAGCAAGACACTGGCACCAACTGTAAGATCAGAGATTTGTTAAAACCTCCTCCAGGGATTTAGTTAACTTTTAATACCTGACAGAATGTTTTTCCTTTGCAGACTTCACTGGCGTGTCCCTGAAAAAAAGGCCCTCAAGGTAAGTACTGTTAAATTCAGATTTAAAAGCATAGCTGTTTTTATTGAGTCAATCTGTTCAGTTACAGCGATACTGTGGCTTTTTGTGTAAACAGTGTCACAGATGGCGAAACCACTGAACTTCATATTATGTCACCTGGAGATTCAGATGGTGCTGACAGGGAAAATGAAGACCATGATGATCTTCCACAGTCCCTCTCCTCAACTGTGGCAGGTTAAAACTTCATCCTATTTCACCTTATTACTACATAAACATTTTGGATTATTATTATTTATGTGATTTTAGAAGAAGTAGTAAGTTTTTGTAAATGCACACACTTGGAAAAGCATGCCCATGTTTTCTGTGAAGGTCAGCTTCTGGAACTTTGAAAAGCAGTATGACATGCATACAGATTCTGAAAAGTGTGGCTGTATTGTTTTTGCTGTAAGATCTCTGACCTGTCATAGAACTTAAAATTGGTTGAACTCTTTCCAAATAAAGGAAAATGTCTGCATTCTGTCAGCTGATAGCAAAAGGGGAAAAGGGTTTTATGTCTCTTATCATCTGAAAAGCTAATTATTTGTCATTTCTTCATCCCAATTTATAGCCCAGAATGGTTTTGCTAGGCTCATGGGACTTGAGGACTCAGTTCCTTTGACAACAGACAACGAAGGTCTGGACAGTGGCCTTGGTGACGCTCCGCCAACTTCTGACAAGAAAATATCCAGCCCTTCTGAGAATTTGGAACCAGAAACAACAGATGTGGAAGTGCCTTCATTGACACACAAAGCTAGAAGCAAAAGGAAACCTGCAAAGTTGGAAAATGCATCTGCTTTGTCAGCGTTATCTCAAGATGAGAGCGGGCACCAACTTTTAAGAAAGTCTTCAAGGAAGAAGCAGAAAAAGGATTTTGAGCCTGGTGAGATTCTTGAGCAGAAAAAGAAGAAAAGTTTACAGAAAGTTGCTGAGTGGCTCATGAGCGTTCCAGTTGAAGGACAGTTGGAGAACCCAGGTGAAGATTCAGATGCGTCTGACAGCTGTTCATCCACATCAACACTGGATGTGAAGCTCCACTATTCTGTAAACCATAAGAACGAGGATCGTAACAAAGCCCTTGAAAAGCAGGTGTTTGGTGCCATTTACAAAAGAAAAGGGAAAAAGGCTGCCTCTCCGCCACTTCAGGTTTTTGTTAAACAACCAACTGCTGCAGAAATGGAGACACATGAGGATTTTTCAGAAGCAAATAAGAACAATCTTCTCCCTTTTGCCGAAAAGAAAGAAATGCTAGAAGATGAAAATGGCTCCAGCAGAGACCTTTTCAAAGAAACACAGATGCAGTTTGGGGAGGAGCATGATGTGGGTACAGGAACAGATGGCATGAACAAGCTCTCAGAAAGTGAGAAAACTAAAGATGAACTGGAGGCTCATCATCTTGCGTCAGTACAACAACAACCAGAAACAAGGTCAAAGAAAAGGAGCCGGGCCACTCTGCAACAGGTTGACACTGATTTGCAAGCGCAAGCTCAGTCTACCACAGACAGTGCTGAGCAGAGGAAAGCCGACAGAGGGAAAGGTAAGAACGCAAAATCCCAAAGAAAACCTGCCAAAGCTCCAAAACCTCTGGTTCTGGTTGGAGCTCACAATGGGGATACCAGTCCTAAAGCCAGAGAAAGATCAGAAGAAGTCCAAGTTCAAATAGAGAATTACCCAAGCAGTGAGGAGCAAGATGTTCCTCTCATGAGAAGCACAAGGAGGAGTAAAAGACTTCAGCGCTTTGCTGTGGAAGTCCAGGAGACCCACAAGAAAGCTGACATTAAAGCTGGGATGCCCCAAAAAGACCCCGAACAGTCTAAAGATGCTAAAGGCAAGACATTGGATGATACAGCACCCCCTGCAAGTGCAAACATGACAAGAAATGGATGCGTTTATGAGCATGATGTAGGAGGGATTGAAAGCATGGAGGCTGGTGAGAGAGCATCTGATCTGGGACCAGCCGCTGAAGTGCCACATGCCCAAGATAGATCCGAAGTTGGGGCTGCTTGTTCTGTGTCTGTGGTCCAAAATTCTACAAGTCCATCCAGTTCGTCTGTGGTCGGTCCAACGCTTGAAAATAAAATCACTTCCAAACCTGATCAGGAAACATCTGTCGGAGAGACAGAAAACGAGGAAGATAAGAATGACAGCGAGCTGGACACGGAGCAGCTTCTCAGGAGCTTCAAGGCCACTAAAAGGAAGTCATTCCATCTTGGGCAACCAAAACTGAAGAAAACTCGACCTTCGGACGATCCGAAAGCAGAGGAGAACCATCTGGGTTGTTCAGGTGTTGAATTTGCACAAAAGCAGATATTAAGTGTGATTCCTGAGCCCTCGTCTTCCTGTGATTTGATTCCTCCTTCCATCTCACCCATTCAGACAAGAAAAACATGCTTTGAGAAGTCAGATGAAGTGGTGGTGTTAGCCTTTAACCCTGAAAGTAGCTGCTCAGGTCAGGACAGCACTGATGGAAACTGTCTTCTCAGGGACAGCCCTAGCAGTGGCCTTAGTCCAAATAGAGTGGCAAAGGGTGACAGGGAGAGTCCCTCTCCTTCCATTTTCCCTCAAGTGGTAGATTCTGGGCTTCATTTCACAGCTGTTGAACATGAGGAACTAACTGAAGCCTTCAAGGGTTCTCAGGTCAGAGAGGATCAGCCTGATCGTACCTCACGGGCCACTAGCGAAGTGACAGAAATACAGAAGTGTTTGTCAGCGAGCCATGCTGAAAACATGGTAATCGCAGAGTCCTCCTTAACCCCTGAGGGTCTGCTTACCTCAGCTGTCCAGTTCACGCATGAAACAAAGACAAACGCCAACAGCAGTGGGGATGCCAGCATCCATTCCTCCGTCAATCGCAACCCCAGGACGAAGAGAAGGGCTCAGAGGCTGGACTCTTCCTCAGACTCCAACAGCAGTGATTCCATAGAGGAACTGCCCACTTTGGCGAAAATTCTTGGAACATCAGCTCCTCCCACAACTGGGAACCAGGAGCAGGGAGAGTCCGGTCAAGCTAACAAATGTGAGGATGCCTGTGTTGCAGCTGAGGCAGCAGAACCTGACTCTGTTGACTCCAGCCAAGCGTCTGTTGACTTGTTCGGCACACCAGACGAATGTGAGTCGCCTCTCTGTAAGAGTTAGTTTGTAATAGAGCGTGTAGTGCAGTGCACCTGAGCAGTGTGTGCTTTCTCTGTTGTTTCCTCCCGCAAGCTCTGCTAGACACAAACCATCTTAATCATCTCTTTTCTACAGGCGATGTCCAAGCAAATGGCGCTGGCGTTTCCATGGGGTCTTCTCAATTCTCAAGTGAAGTCCTTGTTACTCAGGTAAACACAATTATGCATCCACCCACTTTCTTTGGTTTAAATTGTTTTTGCATGATTGCATATTCTGTTCGGAAATGGTACATTTGGTGTAGGAGTAGCTGTTCACATTGGTCAAAATGAGATTTTCCTTTAATTGAAATGTTTGAATCCGTTTGCTTACTCAGCAAAACCTGCTGTCATCCTGTTTCCACTGATGCACCAACACAGCACCCCCCATAGAGGGCAGCCACCCCGCTTTTTAGCAAGCCAAACTGTCGGGCGTTCAGATGACAGACTACCACGCTCAGTGAAAAAACTCCCTCTCAGCAGCTTTCCAAATTGTATTTAATTTACATTAGCGAAAGTAATACCCAGAAGATGATTTTTGTTTTGTACCTCATCCATCTTCCAGCACTCGCACTTTTATCTGTCCACTGTATTTGACTATGGAGCTCAATTCTCATGCCCTGGGGCACACAAAGGGTCTAGGATTACACAGCTGAGAATACAGCGCTCCAGGTTTATTTATTCTGTCTGTATGCTTAATCAGTACATTTTTACTTTAAGCCCAAAGGATAAATTGATTAAAAAAAATCTTTCTAGCTAAGCAAAACCAAATTAACCTCAAACAGCCTCATTTGTAATTGTTCAATTTCACATGTAATGATTATGTCATGGAAATTATGCTCTTTGGCTTTTGTCATTTTTAATCATAAGCTACCACCTTTGCATTGGTCTCCCCTATACCAGCAAAAAATTGAGATGAAGAATGAGCTGGTGAGGCTGGAGAAGCTGATGGCTCTTGTATCAGAGGTGCTTCAGGAGAAGGAGAGCAGTCCTGTCAAAGAAGTCTCCTCAAAAATTCATCAGAGCAGCGGAGCCATGGGTAAGCGCGTGCTGGTTTTAGAGCTGGAAACGTCAATAAGTTTGATTATGAAGGATGATTATTTGTTTACACTTCTTTAGGAAAAATGTCAACTATTCTGCTCATCCATAGGGCATCTTTGCAGATTGGTATTTTGCTGAATATCTTCAAAATAAGCAAGATTAAATAACCTCATCTCAGACTCTAACTATAGGGGAATTTTTCATTATTATCTGACATTTCGTGGACAAGACAAAATGTCACGAAAAATAGGCTGCCAAAAAGTTCTGATTAAGGCCTGAGTGTTTCCCTCATCAGATTTGCCTGTGGTTTAAATTCTAAATGAAGCATGGTGCAAAAATACATTTAAAGCAATATCTTTTCTTTACTAAAGAATGCATCATGAGATGGTAATTGCTAAAAACCAAATCATAGTTTCTGTGTCAGCCTGTGTGCAAGACCTGTGTTGCATGAATTTAATCATTTGCACCATCCCTCTGAGGATCCATTGGATCCGCTTAAAAATGTATTATCCCCTAGCACAGCTTTGGAAACATGCATTTGCTTTATTTGTCTTCTGGAACTTTTGAATTGATTTTGAACATTTCTTTTCCAGGGCCGTGTGCCATCAAGCCCCTTCTTAGTGCGCAGGAGCCAAGCAGAGGAACAGGCAGGTGAGGAAAATGATGCAGTTTGAGATTGCTGGAAGTAAGAGCTGCATTTTGTGAAATCTTCTAAATGAAGTTGGCAACAATTAAAGAGATCTTGGACTCGTATAGGAAAACCATCAGGCATAATGAAGAAAAAAAACAATAGGAGTACTGACCAACATTAAACTGCAGCTTCCAGAAGTGATTAGAAGAGCAGATATTATCACAGCAAATGTTTATTATGAACTGGAAACTGCTTTACCGAGTTTTTGTTTTTATTCCTGCAGCAAATACTTCAGCAACACTGAGAGTTCCTATTCATCACTGATATAATGAACTTGAAAAGTGACATTTGTAAATGTCAGCCTGTTGTTTCCACATATTTACCTGTGTTTTTAAAGAATAGGCTGAAATTATGTTTGCAGCATTAAAAAGAAAAGTCATTGTGTAGAGTTGCTGCTCTGATGCTCTCAGTAGTGATGCTCTCTGGGTTGTGATCGATACCAACCTGAATACGTTTGGGTTTTGTATTTGAAACCTGAGCTGACCGCACTGGTACAGTTGAGGACATGCACAGTCCCCAGGATAAGACAGGGGAGCTCTCGAGATAGATGATATTGATGTAAACTCACCTCTTACAGTTGAATTCCCTGCCTCCAAATTTTCTCAGTAACAGTGATATATGTCCAGAATCCCAACTAACAACTTTTTTTTTTTATTAAGCACTAAAGTAGTCAATATTTGCTTTGAACAAAACAGTCTTGAATTAGCTGCTTTGAATTAAAGTCTTTGTGAAGCATTTTGGACTTATTTTCTGCACTTGCAGCAATGCCTCAGTGAAAAATTCTCATTTCCTCCTGAACACATTATAAACTCTTTTTTAATATTTGCTTGCAATCTTGCATTCCCCATGATAGTTTAGGGAGGGGGTGGTTTAAATTTCCTCCACCTCTTTCTCCAACCTGCTTCAGTGCAACGCCCTCGAGATTTCCCCCTAAACTTGTCTGGGATTTGAGGTCTTATTCCAGGCATTTTAAAATCCTACTTGTATGCTACTGTTTGCAAACAAGTCTTCTGTTGCCATGGTAAGAAACATCAGCGTGTGAGATGTTGGGCGGGGGGGGGGGATACACGTAAGAATAATAAAAAATAGTCAATAGTCTACAGTGATTGAAGATACTGCAACTTGGTGCAAACCTGAACGTTAACAGAGCAAAAGAAGCGGTACAATAACTGGAGCAAGTTGCATGTAATTGGTCTCTTGCAGCATAGCAGTAACTCAGCCTGTATCCATATGTCAGTTGCCATGCTTTTTCTCAGAGGGTGATGTATCTCAAAAGGACAGGCGGATAATCTCACTAATGAGCCTACAATCTGCTTATGCTGTGTGAATAAAAAAGTCATTACTGACAGCCTATTATATGTCATTTAGAGCACTTAGATGGAAACTTGTGTTGCCTTAGTAATTTATCTTTCCTGCCTGACTGCTCCCCTCCAACCTCCGCTTAGTAGGGTTCTAAATACTGGCCTCCAGGCGAGAGCCACAGAAAAGATGGCAGGAAGGGGCTTAATTATACAAGTTCTAAATAAATTAAAAAAACACGTACTTAAGGAGAAAATTAAAAACAATAAGTCGCAAGAGTCGCTGCTGCTATTGCGTCAATTTGTATGCAAGCAAATTGCCAGTGTGTAATATTACAGAGGTTTATGATACAAAGAATTGGCTTTTCATTTTACTCAAAAACAAACAAAATCTGAATTTGTTTGTACATAAGTAGTATTCAGTTTCCTTGTAATAACAAAATATAGAGTATGCAGCTATATCCAAAGGTTGTAGACCCCCTAAGGTTTTGTCAAGGGATTTATTGAAATGTAGATGGATATGTAATAAAAAGTTCTAGTCAGTGTTTGGTTTGACCAACTGTTCAAACCCTGTTAGACAAGTTTTGTGCTTCTCAATCCCAAAGCTCTTCTTTGGATGTTGGCTGACTTTTATTCCATTTTCTGAGAAAGATGATTCCCCACTTTCAATAATTTTGAGGTCTGGGTTCTTGGGAGGATTCCTTACTCCATACGCACTGCTGCAAGTGATTTTCAGTGCGCTTTTTAAGGAACTTGCCATACCTGAGCTTTATCTCCCTGTTTCCATTCCTTAAGAATGGCTTCTTGAGAGCCACACTTCCATGAAAACCATTTCTGATGAAGTCTTAGTGAACAGTAGATGGATCAACTGAGAAGCTAGATTAATCCCTCAGGTCCTGTGTCAGATCTTCGCTGGATTGTTTTTTTCCATCTACTGTAAAAAGACTACTTCATGTTGTGTTTCTTTAGGCCTGGCATTTCTTCCTTTGTCCTCCGCACGCTGTGCTCAGCTGTGATGTTTTCAGCTGATAACATTTTGGGAATCATCTCAAAAAGTGGCAATAATGTTGACACTTTTTAAGGGTATAAGAAAGTGACTTCCGGGAAGGCTTTGTTTAAGAATGCTTTGTTTCTGATACAGGTTTCCTCTTGTTTTTTATTGTTAGGAATGACATTCCAGATGTAAGACAGGATCCACAAACTGGCCCATCTGGTGACAAACTTGGGACTGAGCCCAGTGTATTAAAGCATGGAGGCATTTCAGAGAAGGGTAAGGCTACTGAAGTAGTGTGGGAAAGAGCATGAATTGAAGTTAAACGCTTTCAGGTAAGATTAAACACACACACACCCCAAAAAAAAAGAAAGTAAGAAAAAGTATTTATTCCTGAAGTATACTCAAATAAGTCTTACATTGTAATTTCCATTTGAGGAAGTAGTTCTTTCTTGCTTTTTGAAAGCTGTTTAATCTGCCTATACAATTTATTTTATTCCTGCATTATAGTCTGATCGTATGGTAAATGCAGCTAAGCTCAGTGCTTACCTAAATGTATTTGTTTGTCTTTGAAAAGAGATAGGCGTGGTCACAGTGCGCTCAGAGGATCAGTTGATGTTTCTTTGTGTCTTTTTTTTTCTACAGTTGAGAAGCTCTCCACACACACGGGATTGACTGCCTCTATGATGCCTGTAACTGCCAAACCACTGAATAACTGTTCCCCACCATCTGATGGGCAAGAAGGCAAAGAAAATAACAGCCCTCCGAAAGACAGATGTAAAGCTAAGCTTGTGCTGGTGTCCTCTGGATTAGGTCCTAATGAGCAGGTGCCTATTCAGATGTGCAGGTAGTCCAGATGTTTGTGAATTAGTCTTGTTTAGAGTGTTGAACTGATAAAAAAGTTGTGGCCAACAGATATTGGTGAAAAAGTTTGCCAAGAGAGTTGGTGCCCGCGTGGTTTCCCAGGTGACGGCCGAGGTCACTCACATCATCATGCGCACAGGTAAAGATGCTCTCAAGTTGCTCATTTACCAGACACACATGAATATATAATTCACAGCCATTAAAAGCGTGTAAAATAAGGAAAAAAGATTCTACATAAATAGACCATATTTGCCTATAAGCCACAGGTGTCCATGTAACTGGTAACAAAGAAGCATCTGCAGTATTTACATTGGTCTTATGTGACAAGACTAATTTCCTTAGGCTGTAAAAATCCCTAAATGAACTGCATAGTTTTTTAAGCTGCGATGTTCAAAGCGTTACAAAAAGTAGCGGTTACGTCTGGAAATCAGTGTAGTTTAGAGAGCATTTTTTAGCGGATCTGTCAGGCTATTATCTGTGATTATAAAATTTCTTACTACTATGGAGCAGCATTTAAAGTTTCACTTTTATTGTCTTTAATTCCTACTTTAAACATTTTCTTGGGTAAGAGTATTTGCATTTGGAGAAGTACATTTTCTTTTCACATACTTTTTTCTGTGTTAAAGCTCTGGTCTTAAGGCACAGATAAGCTCTTTCTTTATTTCTCTTTCACCCACACATTCCGGTGTCTGTTCATCCGCTTGTTGCTAATTATCCTTTCTGGTAGATTATTTAAAATTTCAAAGCTCGCTGTCTCCAAAGCACCATACTAACTAAGAAACCATTTTCAATGGCAGACGTTTCCCAGGCAACCAAAAAAAAAAGGGAGTGCCAGGCCTGTTGATCTTAATGCTTGAAAACAGAATGAACCAGGAGTCCTCAAGTATAACCATAATAGTTTAAATGCATTTTGTTTGAGGAGTATTTACTGTCCCCTCTGGAAGCTTTTGTCTTCATATGTTCAAGGTTCAAAAAGTTTTACTTTGATTTGATCATATTTCTGATGCTTGAAGAATTTTTGTACCTGTTAGCTGCTGTCCTAAAAGTAGATCCTTTTTAAAATGCCTGTGATCATATATGGCCAAATTTAAATTTAAAGTATAATTATCCTAATCTGCTCATGCCTTGTCCCAGTTTCCAACACACACAACAAAAACACATCTCAAACCGTGACTTAATGCACTTTTCTGACTTCAAAACATTAAGAAACGTACTGCTTTAATAACAGTTAAATAAAGAAAATGTAATACAAATTCAAAATAAAAGTTTAAAAAAGTACTTTCACAAAGTAATTAACATATTGTATGAAAATACAAAAATAGAGCATTTTATCTGCTAGAAATATAATTACTGTCAGATTTCACACTCTATTTATCATCATGCTCACATGCCTCTGCAGCCTGTGTCCAAAGCAGACAGAATGACAGCTGCCCAAACCCCCGTGGCCCCCTGGACTCCAGCGCAGGACCCCTGAGGCCTAGGAGCCTCAAGTGGCCTGTGCTACAGCGCATTCCCCCACTCCTCCACATCAGGCCCATGCCTGCCTTTTTTTTATACCAGTTCCCATGTTGCCAGATCTCTAAATCCGCTGGAAGAAAGCGCTCTGACAGACTCACTGCGATATCTCCGAAAACTTTATTTGGGGTTTTTCTTGAAGGCTTCTCTTCTGCATCTTTTGAGTCTGTGCATTTTTCAGTGATCAGGCACGCATCCCAGATCTGCTATTTACACCTTAAAAAAAGTAAAGATGTGACTCATCAGACTGCGCTGCTTTTTTCTCCTGACGCTCGCCGAGGACACTTCCACCCCCTTGCACATCAACAAGGACCCCCTAATCAGCAGCAAAGCAGCTCCTACACAGCAAACTAATCAGCCCTGAAACAACTATTTACAGTTTACATTGAGCATCCTACAAGGGATGCAGTTTGTGAGATATAGGTACTTCATAGATTAACTTAAAAATGTCTAAATTCAATTCAAAATGAGAATATTTGTAGAAGCTGCTTATTTAGTCTTGAATTTACAAAGAGCACCACCATCCAAACACGTTTTCTGAACCCACTGTTTGTTCTTCTTTTCTCTGCCAGATGAGCAACTGGTATGTGAGCGCACACTGAAGTACTTCCTTGGCATTGCAGGCAGGAAGTGGATGGTGAGCTTCCAATGTACGTATGAACTGATTTTACTGTCAAACTCTACCAGTCATGAGTTTAGCCATGTTGTGGTTTAGAGGGGTAGGCAGGAATAAAAAAAGGTTTTTACAAAAAAAAAAGTTATTATTTTCATTCCTATGTACTCTTTGCAGGGATTTCCGAGTGCTTCAAACAAAAGAAGCTCCTGGAAGAGGTATGTTGCCTGTGTGCTCCTTAGAGTTCTGCGTTTGAGGTTCACAATTACATTGTGCGTTTTGATGTCAAATTAAACCTGCATGATGAATCTCTGAATGGGGTTTTCTGTGAAACCCTATAAATTATTTGCCATCCATTTGCTCTCCCAATCCCTTCAGCTTGTTTTCTGATATGCCGCCGCAGTCCTTTAATCAGGCTTTCTTTGGTGTTGTCATTATTTAACATTTTTTTACTGCATCATCTGGTCTGTATAGCAGTGCTCTTCATATAATTACAAGGCCACCATGTCAGCTTGAAGAATGTTCAGTACATTCCTATAAGCAAAACTGACCGTTGGGAAAAGCCCATCTATTAATGGCCTCCTGTTTTGGATTCAGTCCTTGTTTCAGATGGGATTATGCTTCTCTCATCAGTTAAAAAAAAGAAAAGGAAAAGTCTTAGACTAGCTATAAAAGAGATCCATGTTTGCGGTTTAAAGTTACTTTGTTTGTTTGTCAAGAGTCCATTTGAAGTGAGAGGTGATGTGGTGAACGGACCCAACCACCAGGGCCCCTCAAGAGCCCGTACAACTAAAGACGATGACGTGAGTAACTGTCCCTACTTCAGTCTTGCGTTTTAAATGCAAAATCAAGTTTTGTCAATTAGTAGTGTTTTTAAAAAAAATGTTATGTTTATACGGGGCAAGTTTGGAATTTACATTACGTTTAAAACTCAAAGCTTTTCCAACCGCCCCCTCCCTTGTTTGTTTGTTTGTTTTTGTAGTGAGGGTTCATTTTTATAGCAATATTGGGCCTTTATTACACAGGATGGATTGAGCTGAAAACGACAATAGTCAGTAGCCGTGCTCTTTTATACAAAACAGACCTGTTCCAGCTCCCTGCACCACAAAAAGCAATGCTGCACAATCTCTGTGTACTGCAAAACAGCACACAAACTGTGCAGTCCAGTGGGCTATAAAGTGAATAATGAATAACTATGGGTGCATAGATTTAAATGTCATGAGAAGGAGAATACACTTTGATTATGTGTGTTTCATTGTGCAGAAAACGGATCATATCCCACTGGCCTCTTTATACATGCCAAGCAGCTGTGTGGTGCAAATATGGTCCTCCATGGCTTTTTTTCTTATTAATTCCTGTCAAAGAATTGGAATTTTCTTGCAAAGACAAATAATAATTCATTTTGACTTCTTTTGTTTTTCTTTAGTTTGTTGGATGGAAATACAGGGGTCATTTTTAATTTTCGTGCAATCATAAAACACACACAAATCATGCAGTTAGAACTCAGTTATAAACCATGTTTAATCACTGTAGATTCTGACGGTAGGGTTATATTGATGGCTTTGCTTATCATTGTGACCTGAATTTTGGTGTGAATTAAAGGCTGTTAGGTTAAATACATTCAAAGATGTTTGTAAAGATGTTCTGTCTGGAAACAATAATCTGTAAATGGTTCTATTTTAAAACTAACTAACTTTGAAGACAGATAGTTCTTTAATTGTGTCTTTCTTACAGAAATTTAAGAAACTTAAAACTCTGTTACTAAAAGTTTGTAATTTTGTGTAAAAACTATTATAGGCAGCAGTGGAGTGTAAAATTGGCATTTCGGTTTATACTTAAGAGAAAGTTATGCATGAAAGACTAGCCCGTTAAAAACAAAAAGGACAAAACTGTTGTCTGCTTTTTAGGCTCTTTGGATTCAGCATGAAACAGCCCACTTATAGATGACAATAGATTCTGATTTTAACTCTTAGATTATCATTTTGAGTATGCCAACCAAAAAGAGAGTTCTCCCTCATCGTATTAGTGTATAAAAGCTGTTTGCTATCAAGTTCTTTGACTCTTTTGGGAACTTAATCCTTTATTTGGATCACTAGCGATTCAACCCTCTCTCCAAATACTGTGAATTATAGGCATGTAGATTTAAAAATTTGCCAGCAAAATATTTGATTGGCTGAGGTTTTGTTTAGTTTTTTAATAAAAAAAAAAAATTAGCAGTAGAGATAACTGAGTTCTTGGGATGACTGTTTGTTTGGTCAAAGCACAGGCTTTGACATCAGAAAGCGGTCTGGTTCTGTGGCAGGAGAAAAGAAAAAAATGATCATCAAAACATCCCAATTACTGGCAGCTCTTGAACGTGTTTCATCCTATTGCACCAGCCTCTTTGCTCACACCACGTTGCGAAAAGCTAATTGTAGTTCTCCTCTCGGTGTAAAGGCCAGCAGGGCCGGCTCTGCTTCCACTTCGGGTTGAAATTAGAAATGGCTACACGTCACGGCGACTATACTGCTGCCTTTAAGGAACGTCTGCTAATTGAATTAACTCCGAGATTGGGGCTCATTGAAGAAGCCTGAATGAAGGCAGGCAGATCTTACAGCTTATGCTCACGTCGTCTCACCTGCTCATTTCTGACAGACCAACTGATGCAACAAAGAGGCCGGCAGCCTGAATGTACATGCTCAGGGAATCAAATAAACTCTTTAATGTGTGTGCATCTGTGTGTGGCAGTGCACGTTACCACACTCTAATGCCTCCTGAAGGACATTAGCTGTTGTCTAAATTAGAAATCTTTTACGGAAACACTTTTTTGTCCCACAAAGCACCTCAGGCTAATGATCATTATGGATATACAGGGAGGTGTGAGGAATTACTTCTTTCCATCTTTATCTTTCAAACACTTCCATCCAGGCTCTGTATATTAGACTTTGAAGCCCATTTCCCTTTTGTGCTTGGTTCAAGGAAACAAGCCTCCATTCCCCATTTCAGGCGGGCGTATTGACCCTGAGGGCGATAAAACAACACGTCCCTGATGTCAGGCATGTCGTTTTTCTCTGCGCGCTTTAAGCGTGATATTACCTTCGAGAGGGTGGCTGCTTGACTCATCCCGAAATTTACAGTACCACTGCGAGAGTAAAAACGGTGCAAGGTCTGTCGGATTCACTTTAAAGTGTAAGAGAGCAGTGTCTGCTGTAAATGCAGGACGTGTTCACAGAAGTGTTTTGGCTTCATTGTCGCACACCTTTACACGGGAGGAGAGTTCAGGAACACATTGTGTAAAGTAATTGCAGAGATGGCCGCCCTCACTCGCCGCTATAGAACGCCGTCTGAAGGTTAAATTAACTGAAGAAATGTCCTTGACTGTCAAATTTTCTCCCCTCTTGCAGATTAAATGGTTCAGTCCTTACCCAAAATGTTTTCTTCTTTTTGTCTTAGTTGCTCATGAAAGGCTACAAGATCTACTTCCAAGGACCTTTTACCGACATGACTACAGGTAACCTAAAACAAAAATGCAGTGTTACTCGTGACAGAATGAAGTTTGATTTGGTTATTGTTGATTGTTGTTTTGGGAAATCTGCTTTACACCCTGGATGCAGTTCAGGCTTCTCAGGTCTGTGAGGAACATAACATTTAATTACAACATCTGTAATTACTGACCAACAACAAAGACAGAACAAATTTCAGTTGCATCAACTTTCGCAAACCTCCTTATTTAAGATGGTTAACATATTTATCCTCCAGGACTCTGCCATCAATGTTGCTTTGGAATACAAATATGATAATTGGAACAGACCCAGCTGAAGCAACTCAAACATCAGCTGACTTGCACAGAGAGTTGAAGCCCTGTGCTGTTTTTAAACCCTGTCATTCCAGGCATGGCGAGCAATGACAAATGATTCCAATATGTGGGCAGAGTGAATACGCATTAAAGAGTTGTTGTCACAAATCTGAAGTGGTTGCCATGGATTCTGCTAACTCCCGGTCTGAAGAAAAAGTGATATTTCCACCAGCCTAGGCTGAAACTTTAGTCCAAAAATAGGTTTCCTTTATACGAAATAAATGTTTTGCTCTCCACTCTGGAAAACGGTGAATGAACAGGGATCATGGCTGATGATCTCAGAGGGAAGTATTACTTCAAAACTCTCAGGGCAGCATTCTTTGGTTTCCTTCTTCCTGGGGCTTTTAAAGTCCTCCTAGCATCCTCCTGCTGGATCGATGAAGCTTTGTTAATGGGTTGACATCTGCTACCTTGTGTGAGTAGGTTAAAGACTCTCTTATATATGCAAGCTTTGGGATGGAGTCCGTTTCCCCCGGCACAGTCATGTATAATTTAAACATTGAAGTTTTGTATGATATATTGTGAGATAAATGGAAGCCTACAGAGCAGGTTCCCCTGAAGGTGTATTTCCTGTTATATGTTGAAATGTGTAAACCTTTTTCCAAACCAATTAAATGGATGTTTTGAGTGACTGAGTGAACTGTACATGGAAACACAACTATTGACCCGTTTAGGGTCCCTTTGATCAGAAGTGGAGCATGCTGGTGTCCCCTCCGGTGTTTAAGTGATGAAAGAAAACAACATAAAGTGGAGGTGTTTTGAAGTACTGCCAATAACATTTGTGTCGGTTTTTCCTAGATGAAATGGAGTGGATGGTGGAACTTTGCGGGGCGACTGTAGTGAAAGATCCACTTCTTCTAGACAGCAAACAGGTGACAGCGTCTGTTCTGACTTTCATTAGTACTTCTCTAGTCATATTGATTTTATTAATTATATATTCATTATATGTTTTTTGCTTTATTATCAGTCAATATCACCACAATTTTCTCATGAAAATAATCTAATTGTTGTCAATTGTCAATATCATCCAACTCAAAGCTGCATTTATTTTCGTGATTTGTCTCCTATATTTTTCTTTTCTTTTTATGATTAATGCATTAAAGCATAGCCATTTTGCAACTGTTGCCAGTGTTTCACTCACTGGTTGTGGATAAGAAGGATCAATAGCACAAGAATATCAAGAGCTAAATCAATAGTGCTTTAGAGAGTAAATTCAGTTTGACAGCTAAGCTTCAAGGATATACATTAAATACTGTATATTACTGTATATTTGTTACAGATTTTTTTTTGTTTTGTTCTTTTTCTTCTAATTGTCACACAGAAGATCTGTCAGCTGGCAATCGTACAGCCTCGACCGGATTCATCGTCTTCCACATACAGCAGTGAGTCCTGTCTGAAAAAAAAAAATAATAATAATTTTCACTGACTATTTTTATCTTTGGTAACAAAGTTACACCCTGTTCACTGGCTTACTTGATCTCTGCCTCTGGCCTGCGCACACACACACACACACACCACAGTATGCACACTCACGTATAGTTCATAAAGACAGAGATCAGACTGACAGCAGCAGAGGTTACATAATTCATACACAGGTTCACACAGGGGTGAGAGCACACAGGTGCACCGCGTCCAACTGTGAGATACAAACTGTGTGTCAAGGAGAAAATATCAATACATGTTAATATTCTATTCGACTAGGTTTAAGGCTTGATATAAGGTACCAAGGACAGTTCGGCTAGAATTTCTGTGATCATTTGCTTCTTTTCTTTTAACTTAACCGTTGCAGGGAACATTTACATTTAGCAGACGCTTTTATCCACTTACAAAAGGAGGTTTAACGTTTAACTACAACACCAAAAATTCCAAATGTGTTCTCCAAATGAATCTGTTTCCACATACCAAACTGCACAGAGCCTAAAATGTTACTCCAGCCTCACACTACACCATTTAGTTTTGAGATTAGTCTAGATTTTTGCGGGCCTTGGATTGGCTGTTGTTGCCTTTTTCAAACATAACATAACTGGAAATATAAAAAAAAACAGAAGGCAGAGTAAATGCTTAAGACGTAAACCACTGAAAGCTTAAAAAACTGATCAAATAATTTTTAAATCAACCCCGAAACAAACAGGAGGCCAATGTTGAGATTTGAAGTCTGAATTTGAACATAGCTAAAAGCATGGATTAGTATCCCTGCACAGGCCCGAGAGAGGAGCTGATAACAGATTTTCTTTGTTTGTTCAGATAGATGTAAACAAAGCTATTTCAGTTTAAAAAGGTTGTCTTAAAAGTCCCTTAATATTCCTGAAAGATAAAAGTTTGTTCAAAGAAAGTCTTCCTGCCACCCCAAGTTGTTTTTACCTCAGAGGCTATCCCAGTTCAATATTGGTTGAAAAGGATTGTTATTGTCCAAGTTTTATATCAATCCCAATTAATTCTAAGTGTCCACAGTGAGAAAATAAAACTTTAATTTACTGTAGCTGCTGTTCTGTTCAGCTTTAATATTTGATCACATAGAGGGGAATAATTTCAGCCTGGATAGACGGAGGCTAGCCGGCATGTCTGTGCACCTGTCGGTCCACTGGTGCGAGGACTCGGACCGGCCCCTGCGAGGGCCAGGTGGAGAATGGCTGAACAGTGAAATGGCTGACGCTGCCAACCGAAAATTAGGCCGGCTTCCAAGAAGAGCAAGGAGAGTGATTTGCCAGGAAAGCGTGCATTAAGGAAGTCGGGGAGCAAAGAGATGGCCAAGAGAAAATCTCAGATTGTAGCTGGGGGATGTCAAAACAAGTTGGCGATTGATGAGAACAGCTGCCACTGTTCAAGAAGAGCTGACATGCTAGAATAAATAGGAATCGCATGGCTCAGAGTCTCCTCCTCCTTCCCCTCGGCATCCTCATTTACACTACTGCATATTTAATGTTGCTTTTCCACTTCCACATCCTCTGGCACTTATATTCCAGGTAGTAAAGCATCACCTCCAATCTCCCCTTCGCTTATCCCCCTTTATCCCCTTTTTATAAACCACTAATTGGAATCACTATTCTCCCCCTCCGACATACTGGAATATGATTTAGATGTGTAAATATCAAATCAAACATTGGCAGTAAGGGGAGGTTGAGTCCTTGGTCTGTAAAGACTTCAAAGAGGCAGTGTGCGTGTCCACGGGAGATGTTTCCATATGTACCGCTGCTCCAGTTTCCCTACACAACATATTAGTCATGTTATACCAAGCAAACTGTTTCAAAATTGGTTAATTTCTGCTTTGATGTCTAACTTTCTTATCGTTAGGTTTTGAGGTACCGCTTGCTATGAACATCATTCATTCATATCTCTGTCTAACATAGTTTTACTTCTCATAATCTTATCCAAAACCCAGCACTGCTTTCAGTTTTAGAAAGCGTTGCCTGTGTAGCTGCTGTAGACAATGTCGATAAAGATACATAAAGAGATGACAGGGAGAGATCGACTAAGTGGAGATGTTGTGGTTTGTGGGCAGCAACCTAACACCTAAACCTCAGGGTTGTCCCAGTGGGGCTCTGGTCGGCTGCATTCACAAGAAGCAATATTGTCATAATTTAAGCATTCAAAGACCCGTTGGAAATGTCAGCTGGTACAACTGAAAACATGTCCTCGTGTTAATATTTGTCCTTATGCACTGCTCTGTCATTGTTTCCCCAGGTCTCTCCAGAACAGCTACAGTTGTGACCCGCGGCTGGCTGTTAGACACAGTTGCCACCTACACCCTGCAAAACTACAGTAAATACACAACATGAGACACCATGTGCACTGTCATTTCTTCTCTTCTTAATCTGTGTTGACACTCTTATATATCTATTCTGTGTGATAAATGTTCACAATGTGTATAAAGTTTAAGCAAAGCTGATGCTTGAGTTGAGTTTTCTTTTGCCACATTTTCTAGATCTTCGTACAAACCCAAATTCCAACCACACTGACAGCACATTGTGCAAACATGAGATGGTTCTCATTCCTTTTCTCCGTCCGATGCTCTACAAGCGTTGCGTAAACACAGATCTGCGTGGCGCTACTTGTTCTGTTCAGGGTTGTCTTCAATTATTGATCAGGGTTTGCAAAAGAATAAAAGAGGACAGGAGGGATTTACAGGCATGGACCAGACGAGGACACAAAAATAACCTTTGTATGCACAACGTGCTTTCATGAAATCAGGCCACTGTAGAATACTAACGTCACATAGCCTCAGCACTTACGTATCTACAGTGAACAACGCTAACCCTAATCTAAAGAGGCAAGATGTATGCAGCCAAATGAACTCAATAAAGTTGATAGAATTAAAAGCACTGTATTGTAAATCATGGTTTTCCTCAGTCAGAATTTGTCTTTCATTTACTTGTTCTTACAATCCAAATGTCCAAATAGATTATTTTGCTAATTGAAAAGTTTGTTGATTGCTGTCTTATACTTAAATGACCGAAAGGATTATTGGGAACATTGTTTTGTAAATTAAATAAAATAGCTAAGCAGGTATTAGAATGTAGTATTTGCTCTTTTAACAATCTACGGATTAAAAAAAAAACTGATCTTACATGCTCACACTGTGTGTGATTCTTTATAAATACAGCAGTCCTACAAGATCTAATCTATTTCAGCTCAGAGGCTTGAGGCTGTGAATTTAACATTCCTCCTCTAAACGTTCAGCTTTAGCACATCACGTTCAGGTAGTCAGCAGGGTCACAGAAAAAGAAAGTCTTTCTGATTGCTTCACATCAACAGTATTATGTTGTCACGCTCAGAGAGGGATTGCCTGACCTGACTCACAGCAATACGTCTGATTGGTGAACCACCTTTAATTTACCTGATTTGTATTAAAAAGCTATTTGTTTGTGTGAATGTGCTTTTTGGTGAACCATTTGTGTGTATTCTCAGCTTTTCCCAGCCTCACTCTCTGTGTAGCATTCAGTTTAAAACGGCCACATTTCAAACCAAAGGAGCTTTTGCCTGGAGGACATGAATCTAGTTGAGTGACTGCACCCTATACAAAGCCCATATACATTTGTTTAAAGGTCAAAATACTGTTTGCTAATAACAATGATCTTTAGGGTTGAATCTACAGAATGAGGAGTAACTTTACAAGATTAGAATGCATGACCATCCATGATTTTTTTTAAGCTCAAATTGAATTTAGTTAGTTAAAGCCTCCCAAAAAAAAAACTTGAATCTAAAACCCATTTTGTGTGAGCTGTTCTGCCATTTGAGTCGGTGACATTTAGTTGCAGGATAAATACAAGTGCTGCGTTTAGTCTCATTCATTGATATGACAACAATAGACCCCAAAAAGCAGGTGGCTGAAAAGTGAAAAGAAAGCCACACACAACAATGTCAGCATGTTCGCTCTGGGGCTTTTTAAATGCCAGATGTGCAGGGGCAAGCGCCAATGTGCCAGCACGCCGCATCCCTCCAGTCAGCTGTTTTTTTTTGTTTTTTTCTCGGTGCAGAGCTCCAGCCGAGTGAACACTCAGCTCAGTTACTCTGTTCGGAACTTGGGAGGCACTCATAATGGAGCACTGCATGCTTCTTCTTTGTATCAGAGGATTATCTGAGGGTGTGTGTGTTTAATGGCATAAAGAAAGGTGCATCCAGACTTTTAACTATCGACGTTTAAATTGGTGAGGGGGGATACACGGTGCCTTTAAACATACCTCAGGTCTGAGACAGTTCTTGGCATTATTCTAGCTCCAATTGGAGACTGTTGCCCTTTGGAAAGCACGAAGTGGTTACACACTAATTAGATTTCAGCTTGATATTTGGGCTAGGTGACTGATTTAAACCATTAAGCTTCATCTTGTAGGGGACATGAAAAGATGTCCTCAGCTTAACCCATTACGACCTGATGCAGAACATGAGTTCACCCTTTGCCAGGTTAAGAAGGCGCCTCAGGTCTTGATGAGCTAATGAAAAGCATCCAGTTTGTGTTACAATCACCTTCTGCTTTAAATATTGAGGAAGAAAACTAAGGAGCCTGGCCAAAGTCACAAAGAATTTCTCTGAACAAGCATAGACGTCTGCATCATAGTGGAGAGTGACAGAAACAAAGAAAATGGACGGCTCTTCTCATCCATTTATGGTTTGTTAATAACGTTGATGGACTGATTCTTTATTCAGTAGCTAATAATTTGTGCTTTTGGAAAGTGCCTTCCCCATACAATTTCTGCTGAATACATCCCAAATTTCAATTTGATCAAACCATGTGGTATCTCTGATATGGGGCTGGAAAGATGCCTTGTTAGTGGCTGCTTCTTCTTCTGTGAGCTGTAGTTTCATTTTGCATGTTGGTAGCTGCTGGTCCCATTTGAGTGCATCTGAGCATCTATATGCAGGACTGATTCAGCCCCTGTAAACTACCAAATCTCAGCTTGTAAAGATTTTAAACGCCAAAATGATACAAACTACGCAATATTGACATTTGCTGAAACACACAACTTTATTATTTTATTACGCTTAGTGGAATCCTTCAGGACATTATACAGCTGTTTGAATAAAGTTTTTTTTCAATCTATTCCTCTTCCAGATCTGGAAATCACTTCATCAAAAATCCCTGAGGTTATCCACAGCTCAAGGAATAAGCAAGTTAGACACAATTTCTCAGTCACAAGATGCTGTTTCCCCTTCTAAATACAGGTCTTTGTTAGAGACTCTTTAACCGAAAGTGATTTTGGGCTGCATGTGTGAGGTCGATCTGCCATGAAAGAAGGTTTGTGTTTTGTTCTAATGCGTAGCTGCAGTGTCTCAGTGGGTCCCAATGTGGATGATACATCTGTTCCACAGGGGAAATTAGTACAAAACAATCTGCCAAACCATCTGGACTATTTCAGTTTGCTTCTTTGTTTTTTAAAATACACATCTGTGTCCATATCTGCAAACATGTGCAAAACAGACCAGCGATTTGCTGGCAAAGCCGGAGGGCATTAATTTATTCCTCGCTTAAATCTGGTTAATAACAGATATATGAATCCTGGAAATACTCCCTACCAGAAACAACCGTTTGTGTCACAATCACCATTTTTATTTAATTAAGTTCATTCTCAAATTGCCAGAATTTTTCTCTGAAGGCAAAAGTGGGGAGAGGTGCGGATTGACTCCTGATGAGATGATACTCTAAAATTAACCTCTAACACAGACATTCTTTCCCAAGTGAAAGTGCAATGAGGCCTAATAAGAGTCTAATCCCTAGTGTCGTGCTTCTGTGTTGGTTAATGACTTGAATTCATGTGCTCTAGATACTTTCAGATGTCGCTGTGCGCATTACACACACGTCAATGTCAACTCTGGACTAAAGCTGCTGTGAATAATGTGTTCACTTGTCCACGATGACCCGGACCGCCCTCCCCCGCGCCGCGGTGGTCAGTGCTACCCTCTGGCCTCAAACCTGCTAGGGTGTGATCTGTGATGGTCCCGAAACTCAGCTCAAACCCAGACAATATTTAGAAGATTAGCTTGTTTGGTTTTCCGTGGTAAAGTCTTTCCAATATCGGGTTTGTTTAGTATTTTATTAAGTTGGTTCCCCTACAGAAAAACACTATGAACCTTTTATTGGTTTGTGTTTGGGCTCTCTCTTATTTGCAGCCTCTATGTTCCCCATTGAAAGCCCCCCCCTACCCCGCAAGGACCAAGGGCACATATATTTTTAATCTGCACAATTTTACACACAGTTTAAATGGCTCCTTCATTTTTAATGACTCACTCTCTCCCACTGACACAGAAACAGTTATACGGGGATTACTATTCTGATGATTGTACTGGGAGGCTGGTGCTTGTTTCCGGCCTTGTACCACTGATCTCTTTCTTTGTGATACTAAAACGAGGGGATTGGAATAAAACTAATGATGGAGCGGCGCTGTCAGCCATCTTCCACCCTCTGCGCATTAGGGTGCATTTTTATGTCCACTGACATTGTACAAGCGGGAAGGGCATTAAAGATGCAGAAGGGTTGAGCTCCAGTGGTCACTGATCAGTGCTGCTTTACAGCAGGATTAAAATGAAAAATAGACCCCCTGCCAAGTCTGTTTGTAAGAAGATAATGACTCATAGTAATAATGCGGGAAAAGTGATTCATCCAGCAGGATTTCCGTCTCTCTTCAAAATTATTCAAGTAAACTTTTTTGCAAAATGAATTGATTTTACATGACTCTGTGTGAGCTTTCTATTTTCCCTGTCATGTGTGGGCTTATCTCACGCTACAGCCCGCGGAAAAGCTTTTAAACCTAAAGAAAGGCTGCTGCCGGAGTTGTGGCTGATTCACGTCTCATTCCAGGTAAAGGCCTGTTGATTGGGCGGTTAGATTGCACAATAGCACAGTGATGGGCAGGACTGAGAACCGCACGTGTAGCTGCGTTTATCCTACCTGAGGTCTGTAATTCTACCCCGCTGAGGCCAGAAATGCTGAACAACCTTTGGAGTCACGCTGCCCATTATTGCAGGACTGCTCTTTCTACCAGTTAAAGTACGTCCTAAAAATGATGCTTCCAAAAGTTGGTATGTTGTCTCTTTCTCAAAAATTCTGCCAGCATTATTGATGACCCCGTGGTTAATTCACACACATTGTATGAGGACACCACAAATGGAAGAAACTTACAGAAAATGTATAATGAAATAATATTGACCCTGATACTTGTGTCATCTTCCTAAAAGTTTTTTATTTTTTATAGAGCAGTTTTGCTAACAAATACTAATTATCTGTCTGTTTTAAGTTTGAACTTTTTTTTTCTGTTTCATCTCCATTCTTCTTCTATTTCCAAATAAATGATTCGGAACTTTGTTTTCAGTTGAGCTTTTCAAACGTGTAATTAGAACGTTTTCAAGGACATGTTCCTTGCTTTGGCTCATCAGTGGTGAAAGGCTGTAAATTTAAACAAATTTGGCCATTTTCTTGATAAGTTACTTTAAAGTAAATTGCTATGCATGTGCAGTTAAAAAAAAAGTGATGTAACGCCTTGGGTCCTCTTACTGCACAAAATGAGTTAGGAAATACAGAATCTAACAACAATCTATGGGGAGCTGATGTTTTTCTGCTTTCTTTTGGTTCTTAGATGGAAACTCCACTCGAGCACTTTGAGTTCACTTTTATAAACCGACTTATTTTAGGCTGCCTTACTCACACAAATCCCCTTAAGTTAATGGGAATCATCTGACATGAGCTGTGAAACTGTTGCCATTAGCTACAACATGCTCTACGGAGGCATTTGGATTTGGGTTTTGTTTCTTTGTGCCAGGTAAGGCCACAAGGAGAAGAGGTCACTGTTAGCTAAACACTGACATCTGTGACATCTTTCACAATCTCTGTGGCATCAACACAAAGCAGAGGCTCTCTCGGTCGACTTTTTGCCTGAGGCTGAGGTTATTTTAGCCCCCCGAGTTTGTCCTCTAACATATTTTGACTGTTCCTTGAAAAAGGCTGCTGCCCATGCAGTATCTGAGCAACAGCTTTGAAAATCTACCTCAATCTAATCATGTTCCTCTTAGTTATCTGAGATAGCTGGCAGCCTTAATATTTCTGTGGTAATAGAGAAAATGTCTCAATAGGGATGAGCTAAAATTGTGTTTAACAAAATAATGTGTGGTTGATGCACAAGATTTAGGACTGAGCCACACCAGGGAACAGGATCCATGAATCTGATGAGCTGTAGGTAATTGCCAGAGACATTAGTGATTAAATCAAGACTGCGCAGACATTGTCATTTACTGCATCCATGCAGGACTCACTCTGCTCCATCTATGAGGACGTCCCCCCCCCCCGACCGGGTTTTTTTTCTGCCCTGGTTTTGCCTCCAGCATGTGTAGTGACCTCACGCTCCCTGCATGGGAACATGGCAGCGATGCTGTGAAATGTCACTTCGCTGTTGCTCACAGAGGCAGCGAGTTGCTGTGGGGTCTTCTGTTTGGTGGCTGGGGACAAACTGGAACTAAAGTCACAGTTGAAGGTCAGAAAAGAAGGCTTGGGAATGCAGACTCAAACAGCTGCATCCATTTTTTATGTCAAGGGAATCCGTTCATGCAACATAACTGCGTATGAGGGGGGGGAGGAACAAGCTCTGTATCTTATGTAATATCTTTTTTTTTTTTTACTATAAAACAGTTTGACAAATCTTATTAAACTAATATTACATATATTTTATATGGTCTCCAAGGAACAACATAGAGTAACTAAAGAACTTTCAGATCTAGAGCAGTGATCAGGCTTTTTTCCCCATTACAGTCAGATTTCTCCAATCATTTTTTTTAAATCCTTTTGGGGTTAAAAGAGGTCAAGGATGCTCAGTACACTGAGGCATGTGTGTTACCCACATCGGAGAGTCACAAGCCTTTTAGCCATTTGTGCAAGAAACACTGCACAGAGGAGAGAATGAAGAGAAGTGGTCTTTCTAATGTAACATCTGCTCTTTCTCTATTTGTGAGACATTATGTGATCATGCACATTCAGTTTTTATCCAACAGTCTCTCAAATGTGAATCCAATTTATTACATTTAATGGGGATGGATAAGGTGGATAGTTCCTCGACTCTTTATACTTTCATAGGTGAGAATACTAGGTTGAAATTTTTACATTTTCAAAGAAAATTCTTAAAATATATTTTTAGGTTTGCGTTTTATAAAATAGATTGTTAGAGAATTGCAGAATTGCCTTGTCCTCCTACTATGTCATCATTTGTAAGTTAAGATTATTTTGTCACTCGAAACATACCTACTTTTATTGTAATTTAATTATTTGACCTGGAAAAATGTAAAAAAAATAAATAAAAAAAACGAGAACAACAAAATTCCCACTGAACAAATTAGTTAGGTTTTCTAAAAATCATGTTCTATATTTTACACACCTGCCACAAATGGTGATTGTAATTCATACATTTCTCATGACTTTCAAATAGTTGGAAAACATCTCAATAAATGTACTGTTTTTGCATTAAATTTGCATGATCATTGGAAAATTAATAACATTCAAGTCATTAAAGATGTTCCAACTCATAGCAGATATTTATTTCATTTTATTATTTCATCATTTCACATGAACAACATAATATGCATCTCCTTAATGCTTTCCGAAACTTTTCCTCCGATTATGGATTTTTAGAACAGTATTAATTGCACAACATGTCAGTGTTATTTATAGTTTGTTGCCTATGAGGTTTTCTTTTTAGTTAAATGCACTTTTGGTTTAGGAAAATGAGTTAAATTTTCTGTCGGACCAGATTTTCATTTAAATGCATCACGTGAAGTGTAAACGCAAAGTTCACTTCCAGATCTTTACAGATTTCTTCAATCGGCTTTCGTGTTGTGCTTTATCTAAACACATGATAACAGAACCGCATTGTAAACAGGAAACGATAACAGAGGTGAGAACAGTTACACAGAGGTGTTACTGCTGCTTCCTGCAGACGCATCTTTCACATGACTTAGTTTTACCTTTGACCACCAAACTCGCTAGGTTTTTTCATTCAGTTTCAGGTGTCATTTGCAAACCAGGCAGTTTTTGTCCCCTTGTTCAAGTAAAAGCTCTGAAGATAAACAACTTTGGCCACCGTGGTGGCCTCCCCTGACGAAAACACAGCCACAAAGAAAAATAACAAGCAAAGCTTTGCTGAAAATGGACAAACAACCCCCTCTAGAATCTCCATGAGATTGTTTCATTCTTGTTTTTACCACATTGTCCTTAAATGCAGTGCAATGATCTAACAAGAATTCACCAATAAATAAGTTTCATGTGCAGTTCAGTTTGCGTCCATCCACACACACATCTCTGAGCTCCGGTCCTACATCAGCACACAGCTCTTGGCCCGGTCCTTTCTGATGGCAGGCGGGTGCTCGTGAATCTCAGTCCGAGGAGGCTGCTGCGAGATGCGCTTGAGGCCGCACCGTGAGCCGGCCCGTTTGAGCTGGGGACGAGGGATGCTGGACACAGACGCCAGGGTGGTGACGTGGAAGACGTCACGGACGCTGTTCTCTGAGTACTTAGAGGTGCATTCTGCATAGGCCACAGCGCCAATCTGCCTCGCCAGAGTAGTGCCCTAAAAAATAGAGAATACACATCCGTTTGAATAAAAAAACAGATAAAGAAAAAACATCTGAACCATTTTTTTCCCAAGCTGCTAGGGAGGTTAATATCATTTTTCTCGTTTCAGACCACGTCAAAGACTTTCCTCTTCATTTTTTATTTTTTTACAATGGAGACAAACACATTTAAGCCAATAAACTAACTTTGAAAGTGATGTTTTGCAGTGGCAGCAGAACCTGTACCGGTACTCATCGTTCATCAGTAGGCGCTGGACTCTGTTGCTTCTACTTTTCCTCCAGAAGATCATAGTGGAAGTGAGTGTGGCTGAAATCACCAAACTATCTGTGCGTTTAAATTATTGTGTCGGACCATTGTGCTTGGCTACGCAGTGAAAAAAAATCTCACTTAAAGTAATAAAGGCCATTTGCTTGTTGGCGAAAACAGCACTGGTCCTATTCATAGCCATGAAATATTTAAGGCCTATCTTCGCAACTGTAAAACTGGAACATAAAGGCTCCATTTATTTCCACCAGTGTTTAGCTGCATCTTAAATCTGAGTTGCTGAAGTCATACACAGTGCTTTCCTATCCTTCACCCTTTACTCACTCTGTGTGCTTATCCCTGTATGAAATGCTGAATTGCTGCTGTGATTTAGTTTAGGTTTAATATAAAAAAGCACTCTAGCTCCGTAACATTTTGCTCCATTTATTCTATCCAGTGTCTTCAGCAGTGGAGACTATACTGTATTACAGGTTAGGTGGTCACTGCATGAGTACATTGTGATGTAATGCGTAATTCCAGGTTTTAGGTTTTTCAAGGTTCTTTAAAGATAGGTAAAGGTGCTTATGGGTTAGATAGTATCTCTCTTCCAACCAGAAAGCCATAGGTTCAATTCCCAGTGTATCCATGTCTCTAAGAGCAACAAGCTCGTTTCCCCTGACTCATTCATTCATTTATTGTCTGACTGGAGAGAAATAAGAGCTGCGTACTGTGAGTGGAATGCTGTTTTAATGTTTGTATTGATACCTGAGTGAGAAGCACATGCAAAGTGATTTGTACAAACCTGTAGATGACTATTTCCACAGCAATCAGGACAAGCATTTAATTCCATTCATTACAACATTTCTGGTGAATAAAAATTGTCTGAAATATGTGTAGCTTATAATAAATCAGCATTCTGACATTAGACACTACATATATTAGTATGAAGTCTGTCAATCACATTCGGTGTTGTCATGTGAATAGCACAGGACAAACAATTCAGCATAAATGCTCCCGGAGCTTTTATCTTTGTTTATTTGACAAACTGTGAAGACGAGTTTTGTTGTCTTTGACAGAATCATTTTACGTTCCCCCAACATCTGGAATCACGTCTCAGAAATGCATTTAAATTACGTTGCATAATTGGTGGTTTATTTAAATTTAGTTAATTAACTAATGCCATTAAATAAATCTGAAATCGTAATGCATTCATTCAGCATCATTAACCGACTGGACAGCAAAGGTCTTTACTTATGCTTTATTAGAAATATGGTGAAATATTAATTTGTTGACAAGAAGCTTCCAAGAAGGGGGAATTCACATTTACATGGAAATGGGCTATTAAAATGAATGCATGCCACTGTTCATCGCTCCAAGACACAAACAAAACAACCGTTCTGTCCCACAACTGCTGTTTGTCTCCTTCTTTGTTCACTGCCAGCTCTTTTATACTGCCGGTGTTCTCACAATTGTGAAAAGCATGATCTGAGGAAAGTGTCATACTCCAAATTAATTTTCAGAGGTTTTGTTTATTTGCACGAGGAAAGGACGACCTATGTGTCATCGGTTTGGACTGATACTATGAAGTAAATCAATGTTATTTGAGAAAAGGAACAATAGATCTTAAACCATAGCTCCAAAAATGGGACTGTTGAATTAAACTGATGCTGTTTTTGGTCTCACCTGTTCATGGGTGACAGGAATGAGTCTGTGCTTGGAAAGCTCTCGCATAACGTTGAGGTCCGTCCTCATGTCCAACTTGCAGCCGACCAGCACCACTTTGGCGTTAGGACAGAACTCCTGCGTCTCCCCTTGCCACTGTGTGTCAGACAGATATGCATCAGTGTGTATGTTGTCATATTGTCTGGATTCACATAAAAGTACATATATGCTGACAATCAATAAACTTAAAGAAAAGACATCAGTACAGATCTGAGAGAAACAATTGTTGCTGCCTATCAATAAGAGAAGTTTTCAAGTCTGGACAGTGTGCAATTATTTTTTCAACATTTTGAAATACAATTCAAAGCTAAAAGAGCTTTGATAGGACAAAGAAAATAATCAAGGTGTTACAAAGGCCAGACCTCAACCTCACTAAAATAAAGTGCTGGTGTCATGGGTTGTGGAGAATAGGTTTGATTAGATAAATAGATACATTTCAGTCTATTTACAGCTAATTAAAACACAAGGGTTGGACTCCTCAGTGACCTGAGCTCAAATGTGACTCATCTTTTCCCTGTCAAACCACAGACACACAATGGAAACAAATCAATTACACTATATCTGTTTAGTCACAGCATGATCCTCATAGTCATAAATGTGAGATGAAGACAAAGAAAAACAACACTCATTACAGACCGGAGGCATGTCTCAAGCTACTGTTGCTCTCTGTTTTTCTCTGAGACTCCTTTCATTATCTCTTCACACCATGGTAGAAGCATCCCTTTGAGTACTGTTGCTCCATTTGTTCTGCCTTACAAAGACATCTTTTCTCCTGGATGCCTGAGCGGCGTTGTTGTTCAGGGGCTCCGGCGTGTTGTTTTGTAGAGTGAGCAGTTGCCGTTCAATAGGCTTCTCTACACAACTGTGTGCAACTGATGAACAGCAGCAGTTTAGATGACTCACAAAGGGCCCACGGAAAGAGTGGCTTATTGTCTGTGTTACTGTTAAGAACTGGTGCATAAAGAGGCAGAAGAATGCGGGCTGTTGGAGCAGAGAGTCTGGTTTATCAAAGGAACAAAATAGAGTTCAGTCTTTCCGATAGCCCAAACTGACAACTCAGTCTAAAAATACATGCGCGTCCCAGGTCAGAGCACGTTCAGCATAGATGTTTAAAAAAACAGTCGGCGGTGAAACTGAAAACTGAAGACAATGAAGTCATCTTCAGACTTAATGGAGCATTTCACCAATGTCTTGAACCGCTGCATATCAGCTGTTCGAGGTTTTTATACAAAACAACCGTCAATGGATCTAAAAAGAGGTCAGAAGCACAAGGTTTTAAGATGAGACTTTTTTTTCTTTTATTTTACCTATTATGCACGTTAGTGATGATAGCTTGTGACAACATACAAGCTCCAAAAGGACTGAGCCTGGATTCTACTCACGAACCCTAATTCCATGAAATGACCGTAACTACCACCAAACCACCTTGAAGCCCTCTATCTATCTATCACATGAGCACATATCAACATTCCTGCGTCTACACCATGCTGCACAGCTCCCCCCCCCCCGGGCAAATCGGGTGGCACTTTGCCAGCTAGTGTCTTGTCGCCTGACGTGATCAAAATGAAATCCATTTGAAAAATGAGCAATGATATGGCTGGAAAATGTATTTGAAGGCTGAAATCACAAGGTCCATACATTTTGTTCAAAATACTAAAATAATTCTCCACCAGGCTGGTGTGACATAAGCTCCAATGTCACCGGCTAAAAAACATGAATGTGCTGTTTCCTCTCTCTGACATTACATTGATGGTTTTATACGAGACATGCATTTATTCCCATGACACATAACCTATTTTATTTATTTATACAATTATTTATTTATTGTCTCTATTTATTTGCTTCAAACATTGCTCTCTGTCTTTTAGCTGTGGCTTAATGTTTATTTACAACATTACTAATGTTTATGTTATCACATCTCTGACTATAACATTCTCTTTTCTATCTTGATTTACCAATTAAATCACTGTTGTGCTATCAATCCACTTTTGTTGACTTTGTTTGTATGAGTCCATGGTTTAAACAGTAACGATATGTCACTGACAGTGTAATTACGCCATCTTACTTTTTTTTTTGTTCAGTTTCTGGAACTAAATGTGATCATGTGAATAAGGAAAAAGGTTTTCACAGACAAAGATATGTCTTTGCCTAGCATAGGTGATATAGATGGATGAGGAGATCAAGAATAGGCTGAGGAAACCAAAAATACAAAAGGGAGCACAAGAAACCAAGGGTTATTTTTGTAGCTGGGCAATATCGAGAAAGAATAATTCTCTAAAAGGACAATTGGAGGGTGCAAACATAGATTGGGTGGAAGTCTGTCAGATTTAGTAGAACACAAAGTGTTTCTGCAAGGGTATAATCTTAAAATGAATGCTTGCAGATGGAAGTCCAAAGCAAGCCAAAGAGGAGGGACACAAGGACTCATTGAACACCAAAATGAGATAATTAGATGCTAAGATAATGCATTTGCTTTGCTTTGCCCCTACATTTTGAATAAGTGACGCCTCAAAATGTCACTCTGGCATCATGTGCACCTATCATAGAATTAAAATTCACCACCAATATCGAGGTTATTTGATAAGGTCAAAGTTCAAGGTAACTTTCAAATGAACCCCCCTATGGTTGTGAGAATGTGCCGACCATGACAGATGGGTGTTTTGTCTTGTTTTGATGATGTCATTGATGAATGATGGAACAAACTGCAGGAATGTCTGACTGATGGGTGGATCAAACACCCCAAAGCATCTGATGTTCAATACTGATGAACAGTCAGTGGTCAAAATCCAAATATAGATATACTGAAGAATTTGTCTGTTTTCTAGTCAGACTCAATTCAAACACTTTGAGGACTTTTTTTGGGATGCTGGCTGCTTTTTTCATGCGTTCTAGCACATAAATAGAAAACCACATGAACAAGTTTCGAATGTGATTTCCATCAAAGAAGGCTGTTTTTCAAGAAACAAACAAGCCTCATCAAAACTTGCCATTTAGAACAAGCAGTTTGCCAATTTTGTGGTTGATGTTTTGCAAAGAACATTTTGAAAATGCTAGCATGCAACCAGCAGACGGCAAGCAGAATCTGCTGGAGAGGCCGCCAAAAGCAGGCTTACACCAAAAGCTGACAGCCCGTGAGTGGTTTTGGTGTTCAATTTGACAAATCTTATTGAGAAACTTTGTACTGCAACTTTCAAAACATGGTTTCAAAGGGTTTTCCGAAGAAAAGTAAATAGTGTGAGTTGTCCAAATAAAAAAAGAAAGAGAGAAAAAAACACATAACATATTGTAACGAGACAAACAAAACCAATAAGATAAAAAATGCAACTCTCAACTGTAAATTGTTCTGAGGATTGATCATTTCATCATTCTTCATGTTGCATGCGAGCCAGATATCATGATGGGTTCAAATGCATTTGCTCTTTCCGAATAAAGAACGTAGTGTGCCTTGAAAAATGTCTCACCTATATTGGCAAAAGATGAAATATTCACACTTCTCTTAATGTGATGCTGACCTTTTTTAGCACACTATCCAGTGTCTCCGGACGACTGATGTCAAAGCAAATGAGCACTGCATCTGAGTCGGGGTAAGCCAGTGGCCTCACATTGTCATAGTAAGCTGCACCTGTGGGTGAAAACACACATAGATTATGCATCGCTTATGGTTTCATTATTTGGCAAAATACGTTTTTTTTTCACTCAGTCTGCAAGACTGTGGAGCACATTCGGAGGTAACAACTCTGATTAAATGGAATGACTATGAATTTTGCAGATGACAATGAGTAGGTGTGATTTATTGCTTTTGAAACAAACAGAGGGGCCTCTCTCACAACCCTTTGTCAGCATCTGACCGTCTTGAATAAGCCAAAAGACAGACATGTGATGGTGTTATAATGAATGGCTCACATATAATGAATGACATAAAGTGTCACCTGGTATGTTGGAGTGCGGTGGCTTTTTCAGTGCTTTTTTTTGTTTTGTTTTTTTGCTGGGGGCCCAGATTGAATTGAGTATTGTGACCAGGGCAAGGGGACACATTCCTATCCAAAGAGGACAACATTCCCTCCACATTTCCCCCATTGTCTTCAACACTACGTACTTTTGTTACCAAACACAGAGCTGTGGCAACTCAACAGGAATGTGCTCAACAGTAGATTCCCATGGAACCCAACTGAATATCATTCATACGCACAACTCAAATGTCAGAACACTATTCACGAGTTGTTTTAAGAATAGCCGTTTATTTCTTTTTAAAACATATAAAGGATAAATTTGCATGTTTTAAGAAACATATTGTATTTGTGAATTCATTTATTTTGTTAATGAAGGAAAGAAGAGATGGTTAAATCCTTCAAAAAAGTTCTAAAACTGACTCCTTGTCCTCTGGTTTCAGACATTTCTCTGTAAATGCATTTTCTTTTAGATGTTTGCTGGTGGTCTACATATGGGTCAAATAAGAAATAAAATCTCTGTAAAAATAAAACAAGAGATCTGAGCCCGCAATCCGAAATTTATTACATGAAATATTAGACTGGGCAGAAGAATCAGATGCTGTAAAATAAGTCATCTGCAATACTGCTGAGCAGGCAGTTTTTAAGAGCTCCAGGGGCCAGGCGCACAAACAATACATACACACAAAAATCATATGTTCACCTTTTTCTGATCGCAAACTGGTATTCATAAAAAGAAGACTGCGTGGTGAACACGTATTCACTTCCTGACTGGTACAATTGAATTTGAGACTGATTTAATATGGTTCCTGATCCATATAATGTAGTGTGTTGGTCTGTTCACAGCCAAAAAAATTGGAAAAACTAAGCTTTTTTGGTCAAACAAAGAATGTTAATGGGTTTCTTTTTAACAGGAAATGCCTGACCTAGACATTTAATAAGTCATATCAGATTTGATTTCATTTTCAGAGACAACACAAGTAGAAAATAATAACAAATTCAATACGTTCTATTCATCGAGCAGTTAGCCAAGTTTAGCATGGATTGAGAACATGGGGAAATAGCTGGCCAGCTCTTCCCAGACTTTAAAAAGATCTAACACTCCTCAGTGAATACTTCAGGAGCTTGTTGTTTATTTACTCTTTTTATAAAAAAAACAATTTTATCTTTGAGATACGTGTTATTATGTACTTCAGGGATTTTATCTGAGTTTATTAGGAGATTTGGGTCTTTCTTACAGTGTGCTCATCAGTGAGCTCAGCCAGAAGTGAGCATTTCCCAGGTTGGTTTTGAAGTTTATTTGTATAGGGAGTAAGAGTCTAAACTAAGTTTGATAACAGTATACAACCATTAGTGGTTGCAAGTGCAACTTATATTAAGCCTGCAAAATTATTTCCATGAAAGTAACAGTGGCTTGATTTTTCCCTGATCATATCCAAGTTTGATCCATATTGCTACAGAATGAGAGGAGCAAAAAGGAGGTTGCTGTATGTTGGTCACTCATTGCTGCAAGTCATGTAATGGCACAATCCAACTTGTCTCTGTCACGTCTGGTGTCTCGTCTTGTCTTGATTACCTATTGTGTACACCTGGGGTTCCCCTCCCTCATGTGTTTAAATAGTCCTCGTTTCCCCTTGTCTTGTGCGAGTGCGTTCTTGTCCGTTTCGTCCGTCTTGTCCTTCGTCACCCCCACGCCAGGTTTGCTTTTGCCATAGTTTTTTACTTTGCCATAGTCACAGTCTTGTCACAGTTTTGTTAATCGTTATTTTGTTACTTTGCCACAGTTTTGTTTAGTTATTGCTTTGATACTTTGCTCACAGTTTTCCACAGCTTTGATTTGTACTTTGTCTGGAGGTTCACCCTTTTGTACAATAAACCTTGTTTCCGTCATCTCCGCACCTGAGTCCTCCCTTCAGAACCCACCATCATGACAGTCTCCTTTGTCTCAAGGTTTGTCTTTTTTATGATGTTTTTGGTGTCGTTTCTGTCTTTTGATTTGTTGAGCTAATTTGTTTGCTTTCCTCTCTCTGTGTCTCGTTTTGTCTCAGCACACCTACAGTACGGTTACCACGCCTGTCCTTGTTTGTCTTTGTTTGGTGTGTGTCATGTCTCATGTCACATGTTGGATTATCTGCCACCGCAGGGCTTTTTGAGTGGTCAAAAGTTTTTCATTTTGTTTGCTTGTGTTCCAGCTCATCTTCCTCAGCTACACACAAATTTAAGAAATGTGTGTATTGTCAAAGGAAACACTTGAGAAACACTGTGGAAATGGTCAAATGAGTCATGTGTGAAGGATGCAAATATCCTATATTGTTCACTAGCTGTGAGATGAGTAAGCCCTCGTCATATTTGGCTTCTTGTAAAGCTGAAGCTTTTATAGTCATATTTATGAGCATGAACAAAAGATTTATAAGATGGTTGTTGGTTCACAACCCAATGCCTAATTTAAAACTCAACCACCCCAGGGCACTTGCTGCAGCTTCTCTCCAGCAGCCAGTCTCCATAGGACTGTACATTTCTTCCACTTATACAATATGTTTTTTTTATTTCTTTGTTTTAACTGAGAGAATTACAGTTTTCTTGTCAACAATTAATTCACTGTGTCTGAAGTCATTGTTATGTCTATGGACTAAAAATGTCTTCCACCATTATTTACGAAGCTGAAGAGCTGAGTTAAAAAAAACATTTACAGTGTAAAGTGTGCATTGAAAGGTTGGAGATAGATATCCCTGCTTCTGCATTCAACCTTTAAGCCAAGTTTGTAACATACATGACAAATTGATGAATGTGAACATTATAATGACTTCAAATATAGGATATAAGGAAATTATTCATGCTTATTAATTAATTCAGTTTCAGTTCCTCATAAAATGTGAATTTGCATAATCTTGAATAATGGAAGTGCTTAGTTGAGTTATTACAAAATAAACAAATTCACACTGACACACTCTTAGACAGAGCGGAACTGCATGCCTCAAGGTTCCATGATGTCAACCAATCTGTGTTCAGCGGTCGGGCAGCGGCTAATGTGTATTGATCTAGAAGGTTTTTGGGACGTGTAGCTTGATAATCCCCACGGGAGGATTCCTGCTGTTGTGGCAGGACCAGTCCATCTGTCTCTGTCTAAAACCCTCTGATCAAACTCCAAACACACACAGGAGTGCTGCTGTACTCAGCCTTCTTAAAAGTCAATATCAGTGTCATTTACAACATCTCACTCAGAGTGTCCAACAATCGTGCCAGTCAGATATTGGTCTTGCATTTCCTTGTATTGACTCCAAAACAGTACGTCAGTGTGGGCAATGTTGAAGTGAAATGACGGTACTGCACAAAGGGAAATGAAGCTTTGCCTTGTTATTCATGTCTGACACTCACAAAAACCTGTTTCTCTTGTCTACTGTGTGCAGCTGTAGAGCCTTTACCATCCATATCCTGTTAAAGTGAATATGTCCATATGCAAACCATTTCAAATGGATATCTGTCACATTTAGAGAGAGATAAAGTCTGTATCTTTTATAGCCCCACACTATTCAGAGGAAATTCAAGACCACACCTCAAGATGCTTGCACAGAAAATCATAATTTATCCTCTGTAATGAAGCTTTTGTCCGTCAGCCTCTAACCTAGCATAATATTAGAAAATCCTGTTTGTCCTCGTCATGCCCTCCTATAAAGATAGTTCCTCTTTTTCAAGAAAATTCTTGGCGTGACACACATCCAGAGATTAATAGCTGTAAAATTAGATGATAATGATGAGCATATTTTTCCACCCTAACGTGAACATAATAACACCACCCACTGACAGCGACACACTCATGCTGGGTGACAGAGGTAGACAATATGGAATCAGCCTGTTTGCTCAGATGACTATCAGAGTCAACTCTTTATAAATACTCCATGAGCTTATGACTCAGCATGCATTACACTTTGAAACACCTCACATTTCACAAGGTTTGACCTGTTTTTGCCTCTTCCAAAACTGTTGTCAACACTTTGCTAATCAGGTATTAGTCCCCATGTATTTCCTCACACAGGGTGTCGTAGGCATACACACTCTCTATGAGAATTACTACGTGTCTTGACCTCAGGTGTTTTCCTCAATGAAGTCTTTGATGATAAGAAAAAACATGTTTGTGCTAATATGAAATGATCAGTTTAGTTCTGTGTTTATTTCATAGATGGGAAGTTTTTCAATGACATAAACTGGCCTCTGCCATGTTAAATCCCAAATCAGTTATATAATGTGACTGTACAATACAGCCTGAGCTTGTTGTCATACATACACTATATTGCCAAAAGTATTTGCTCACCTGCCTTGACTCACATATGAGCTTAAGTGACATCCCGTTCCTAATCCATAGGGTTCAATATGACGTCGGTCCACCCTTTGCAGCTAGAACAGCTTCAACTCTTCTGGGAAGGCTGTCCACAAGGTTTAGGAGTGTGTTTATGGGAATTTTTGACCATTCTTCCAGAAGCGCATTTGTGAGGTCGCACACTGATGTTGGACGAGAAGGCCTGGCTCTCAGTCTCCGCTCTAATTCATCCCAAAGGTGTTCTATCGGGTTGAGGTCAGGACTCTGTGCAGGCCAGTCAAGTTCATCCACACCAGACTCTGTCATCCATGTCTTTATGGACCTTGCTTTGTGCACTGGTGCACAGTCATGTTGGAAGAGGAAGGGGCCAGCTCCAAACTGTTCCCACAAAGTTGGGAGCATGGAATTGTCCAAAATGTCTTGGTATGCTGAAGCATTCAGAGTTCCTTTCACTGGAACTAAGGGGCCAAGCCCAGCTC